TTTTTTTTTTTTTTTTGGTTTTTCGAGACAGAGTTTCTCTGTGCAGCCCTGGCTGTCCTGGAACTTACTCTGTAGACCAGGCTGGCCTCGAACTCAGAAATCCACCTGCCTCTGCCTCCCAAGTGCTGGGATTAAAGGCATGCACCACCACCGCCCGGCGTGCATACACTTTTTAAAAAGTTAAGAAACCTGAGTAGAAGAAACTCAAGTAAAATGAGTGACATTAGTCACTTCTGAGTGTGAATTCTGGAAGGTTTCAGGAAACACACCCTCATTCTGTCTAGCATAAACATTCAAGAGTGTATCACCACGTAACCATTAACAGTTAAAACATTATTGCAATGATAGTTTTGTAGGGAAGAGTAACCTAGAAAAGGAAGATAAAGAACAGGACAGTCACATATTAGAAAGTTTCCCTGGGGCTGTGGAGATGACTCAAGCTCTTCCAGAGGTCCCAGGTCCAACTTCCCAGTCACCTATGTGATGGCTCATAACCATCAGTAACTCCAGTTCCAGGGATTCAGACACCCTCTCTGGCCTCTGTGGCCACAAGACATACAAGGTACATAGGCAGACATATATCCAGGCAGGCAAAACATCCATAGACATCAATTTAAGTTTACCTTTGAATTCAGTGCGAAAGAGGAAGAAGAATACAGCCATAATAGGTAAATTGTAAAAACATAAGCCGGATAGAAATATGACAATCATCTGTCACACTGAACAGACAGGTGAAGCTGAGCATCTTCTACAGATTATTAATAAGCTTTATTATAAACGCTGAAAACCACACATCAGTTTTGTGAAATGGTTTGCTGAATACTGCAGTTCAGATGTTAGAGTCATTTATCTTGAATGTGAAACGTTTTCTCAGACTTAGGAAAATGTCAATGGTGGTCCTAAGAAAAACATAACTTCTCCTTACATAACACACACCTTGCACTTTACAGAGAAGCCTTTATATGAGGGATCAAGTGTATTCTTCTGGTGGCACAGACTCTAATCTTTCATCTCGCTGCTGAGCAGCTGTCGAGTGCTGGATAAAGAAAGCCGATACCACTCGTCACGTTATCAAGTATCTGTAAACAAATGGCGTGCTGTGCGTTCCTCCAGCTGGGGGGAATTACCTAAGGGAAATCTTCAGGACCAGAGATGCACGTTGCAACTTAAAAACCTTATTTTCACAACATCTGTACTTCTAATTACAGCTCTCCTGTGCATCGGGTATGGAGGGTACTGTCTGCTAATGGGGAGGCCGTACAAAGCTTCCAAGAGAGAAGGAACCAATGGCCTCTCAGAGCTGATAGAGTCCTAAGAGCGTTTGCCAAAATTTCCCTAAGCTCTGCCACACAGTCCTGAGAGAACTGAACTTACAGTTTCCAGGAGCGGACACCACTGTGTGATTTCTTCCCCTCACATATACTTTGAAAGCACTCTGTACAGCAACATCATTTACAAATTCCTTACGGCACAGGAGTGTGTCAAACTGACATTTCTGGCTGACATCAGTGTGTCCAGGTCAGATTCTCTAACATCCTCTGAAGCTTTATGAGAGAGAGCCTCAGAAAAGGTGTCTGGCAGAGGAGAAACAGCTTAGATTACAGCTGTGACCGAGCTCACCCACCCACAGCTGTTCTGCACTCCTTCCCATGTGAAAGAGACAGACCTAAAGCACAGCTCTCCTAAGCGCTCGGGTGTGATTTTGTTTGTTTCATATTGTTTTAAGAAAGGCTTTGGGACCAGTAAGATGGCTGAATGAGTAAAGATGTCTGCCACCAAGCCTGAGGCCTGAGATAGATCTCTCGATCTCTCTCTCTCTCTCTCTCTCTCTCTCTCTCTCTCTCTCTCTCTCT